TGTTCAGATAGTTTATTTCAGGTACACAGCCATAGACAAGCGGGGATTCAGATCTACCACTATCTGATGTTGAAGGTGCAGTCATACAAGGTCACACTTTCCAGGCTGTTCATTGTTTTTAAAGTGTGGGATTTGCAATGAACCATCAAAGCTGCCATATCCCATCTCAGTAACTCTAAACCTATGAGCTTTCTGCATAACCACTCTGAGCCTCTTAATATTTCCCAAGGAAAAGCTTTATCAAATCAAGTCTTCATCGGGCTGTTCCTCAAGCATTCTACAAACATCAACAGACCAATGTCTTGAGCTGGTCAGCATGGTGGTGGTTTTTATGTAAACTGTTCCATGAACAGTGCTTCATCTTCACCTCTTCAGAACTTCTGATTACACTGGGTCTCTACTACATAAGAATATCTACCACCACTTGACAATCCCTTCAGATGTTTGATGGGTCCTTCATTGGTGGTGGTCACATTATCTCTTCCAGGGCAATCCTGTTGTGGTGACTGGCTTATATGGGACTCTGTGGCTCAGGATGAGTGATACAAAGATTTCTCCTCCACATTACATTTTGACTACCATCAGTAAGTTAGTCCTGCAGTCTTTACATAGTTATCTAAAATGATGGAAGAAAGAATATTCAGAAAGGAATATTAAAATAGCCAGTTAAGTCAGTCTTCACAACTTACGTGCGCACACCCACTATCACTACATCCTTGCAGTATGGGAACCTACTCCTGGATGAATGTAATACACAGAACAGGGTTCAAAGAAGGCAGTAGCAGCTGTCCAAATCCCAAGACAGGCCTGTAATGGTCTCAAAGCACTAAATTCATAGCCAACATACATACTGACAATGGACAACACACTTACCATGAGCTTATTTAAGAAAAAAAGAACAAAACCAAAAACCAGGACCACTCTGTATCTCTCTGCTCTTCTGACTGGAGAGGAACCACTTTTTGATATATCCCCCTTGAAACAAAGAGCATATATGCTTTTTGTACCAGAAGCAGACTGTCTCAAAAGATCAACAGAGTATAGCTTCCAATTAGATATTTTTGCTACTTGTCTAACAGTTTGGAAAGATGGAAATGGACCTATTTGCCTCTAAAATGAAGATTCGCTGCTACTTTGTCAGATAGAGACCTAGGGGCCAAGATGGAGGCTCTTTCTAATGTGACCTCCCCCCCCATATTCCCGCCACATAGTTTGTATTATGACAGGCATCCGTTCTGCACCCCAAACCAGACAAATGTCAGCTAGCTTCAAAGTATTTGGCAAGTATCTAAAGAGAGCTACTTGGATGATATCATACTGCTAACGTCAATTTAAACAAGTTGTCAAATATGTTCTAAGACTTTGGTGAGGTTTAGATACTGGTGAAAAGACCATGAATTTATTTATCGCTGTCAAAAGTGAATCGTGCCCTAGAATTAATTTGGAGAGCCCTAACTTGGGCATGTGAAGGCTGCTATGTTGTATGAGACAACATCTGCACTTCATCAAGTATTCTCTGTGCATCTGGCAAGAAGAATGTCTTTGCATCTGGGCTCTATAATACATCCTCTGCAAAAGGATATATTATAGAGACATAACCCTGGAATCTTACCTCCTACCAATTGCACTTGTGGTACACTTGATTGAACGCTGGAGAGAGGTCTTGTACTTGCAGTCCAGCCAGGTGGATTTCCTGGTGGTGGTGGGCACAACTGCCAGATAGGTGTCAGGCAGGAGCCCGATCTAGTCTTGGTATTGGGTATATATGAAACAGAAGATGTTTCTGACTGAACCACTATTTATCCCCCAAAATATCAAAAAAATATCCTTGTGTCTCTCACCTTCACACTGAGGAAAATTTTTGGTGTATGCTGGACATATATGGGGCTACCAGAGTCTACATTAAACTAAACTAGAGCCCCTAAATCATCTGTTAAAATTAAGATGGAGATCAGATGAAGAACTTCAGAGACTTAAAGGTAAAGACCTTTACTAATATGTTAAACCTTAGAATGTTTCTTTAATACTGTTGTAATGTCATGGGCAGAAGTCATATGCTTATGATCAAATGCATTATAGCCACATTCATCCATATTTCACCAAATTCTACAAAGTAAATATCCATTCCTCAGCCGATGGGATCTTTGGGTATTAATTGAGTGAATAGGAAAATTTTATCTGCTTACTTAGAAATGTCCTTCAGATAATATCACTATATCTAGACAGAGGATCACTCCGGCTTAAAATGAATACCAATTTTTATTCCATTATTTTTAAAGATCCATCATATGCACAGCAGTAGGTGAAACTGTTAACTAATGTGAGATTTTTGTATTATAAGGTTGGCTTTTCTCAGAGTTGGGTGAACTTATCTTGCCTGGTAGAAGTTCTCAAGTGGCCGGCTTTTCAGTAAGAGAGCCACTCCCCTTCTGCCAGTAATGGACAAGTCTGGTTCTGACCTAGAGATTGCATGCTGGCTGAAGAACCACTGTAATGGATCACTGAAAGCTATTACTTGAAAAAAAGAAGCCTTTAGATAAGCCACAGGTAATCTCAGGGCAGTAATTAAGTTGAGAAGCAAGTTGCTTTCACTCTGCAGCTTGAAAGAGCTCTGAACAGTAGAAGCAGCCTCTGCAGTTATTCACTCTAGGAAGAGGACCCAAGAACAGCCTGGAGAATAGTAATGGAGGAGACACAAACCTATCAGATGCCAATAAACTCTTTTATTGAATGGGGAAACGGAACAGCCAAAGGAGATTGAATGGCTTTAAATTGACTAAATACCTGCTAATCAGAGGCCAGTATATAAGATGGAGTTTCCAAATAGGTGTCCAGAATAATAGTATTCTGATACATATTTCAGCATCCTCTTTCCCATGTGTTACGGGATGGAAGGATGTTAACACCTCACCTGAATAGTGGTGAGAACTTTTTGTGCTGACCTTTATTGTATTTTTAGTCTTCCTGCTGGACAATTTCCAGATTGTCTGAGAAAAGTGAGATTTTACAAAATGAAAATGGTAAGATGGATTCTTGGAGTTACAAGGATGAACCGTGTTAGAATGAACCAAGGTTAGAGGAAGTGTGAAGCAGAACCAGTTATAGAAAAGCTGAGGAAATTCAGGCTTAAATTGTTTGTCCATGCAAAAAATCAGATATATAGGAAATAGGGTGCGTTAAACTTAAAAGTGGAGCTAGATGACTGTCCTACAAAAGGATTTGATTAACTGCAGAGTTTTGAGGAACAGACTGGAATGGAGGTCTCCAAGAGCTGAACCCATATAGATGGGTCTGAGGCTAGAAGAAAAGAGAAGTATAAGAGATTTGTGGGGATAGGAGGAAACCAAAGGAGGAATGGAATATAAGGGAATTCACAGTGTAGGGAAAGAGATTGGAGGGGGTGAAGGAAGGGAAAGGGTTGGGGGGACGGGACACACAATGTCCTCTGTACTTAATGGGAATGTTGACCTAAATTCTTAAGCAAGTGTCCTGGATACTGAGGCATACCCAGTGCAGCAGTTTGGAAATTCTCTTGCATCTTTCTGATGCACTAAAAACAGAGCATTTTACTGAATTAAATGTATAAATGAGTAATGCATCTGCTACAGTGATAGATATATAGCAAGAGCATCCATGGTGATGGTAGAGTAAGGACTTTAAAACCTAGAAAAACTGCTTTGAAAAGGATACAAATTTTCATGCGGAGTAGGAGGAAACTTCCTGTGGGTAGATTTCATAACTTCATACTGCCTGCAGGGTACCATGCTACACCTTCCTCTCAGATATCTGGGACAGGCTACTTTACTACAGGGTACTGGACTACCTGGATCACAGGTCTGATTCGGTATGGCATTTCCTGTGTGTCTGATATTTAATGAATTTTTATACTTCCTCTTGGTTTTTGTATTACAAGTACACAATCCTACTGTAGAAGGTGTTTGGTGTGCAGGTGGTGGAAGTTTTAGCAGATGGGAAGGAGTTTTTGGGTTAAGCTCCACTGATGAGAACGGAGGTGCTATCGCTAATGCTGGTGCTGCTATGCAGGCGGCTGAGCACTGATCGCTGTAATTGGAGCAAACAAAGGGCTAGTCTACATGGAGGCTTCGCGCATAGCAAGCCAGGGTGTAAAGCGACAGCATACTGGCCTGCCGTGCACTAGCTGGCGGTGTGGACCCTGCTACCGTGCACTAAAAGTTCCTTAGTGTACTTTGATATACTGATAGCAGTATGTCAAAGTGCATTACAGAGCTTCTAGTGTGTGGTAGCAGGGTTCACCTAGGAGGTTACTGTGGGCGCCTATGCTTGCCACTCACTAAGTCTCCTGTGTAGACAACCCTTCACTATAGATGAGATCTTAGTAAGTTTAAACTTTTGTCCTTCTCTTCAATGGGCTCCCAACAGTGCTAGTTACAACTGGATATAACATGGTTATTGCTAGCAAGACTCTAGCAATGTTTGCAGGACAGTCTACCTGTGTGACCATATGCAAATCACCTAAGCTCTCTATGCCGAAGTTCTCCATCTGTAAAATGGGGATGCTTTTTTACCACATGCTGATGCAAGGATACAATAGTAATTTGTGAAGTGCTCTATCGCTATATAGTGATGAGCACCATAGTAAGGAATAATAAAAGGAAAGCTAACCTTGAGTGATCAACTTGCTGGACTAATGCTTTACATTGAAAATATTGCAACAGTTCTAACTATATTAGCATAGGTGTCAACTAGTTCTACAGAACTCTTAAAGAAGACCGCCTAATCAGTGTGTTAGACTTGCTGTGATAAGGGTATGGAGGTACATAAAGTGGTTTGGAGGAGGAACGGGCAGCATGTGTCAGGGCCTCATGTAGCAGAATACTTTTGGTTCCTGGTTCTTTATATGCCATTTAGTCTCTTCTTGTAGTATACCATATGAAATAGTAAGCTAAGTAAAATTAAATGGAAACACATCTTCCTAACTAAACCTAGTATAACTTTTTAAATTTCTTCTTAATTCTTAGATGGGAATGATGAGCAATCCCAGTCCTTATGGCTCACCGTACAGCCAGAACACTGGGCAGCAGATTGGAGCCAGTGGACTTGGTCCCCAGATGCAGAATAAGACTGGGCTACCAAACAGCTTACCACAGTTTCCAATGGACAAAAAGCCAGTTCCTGGGACAGGAATGCCTAACATGGTAGGTAGAATTATAGGTTCCACTTTCAAATGGTAGCAGCTCAAATATGGGTCTCTTGCAATATTCTGCTTGTGGTGCTCTAGGATTTTATAGCTATCAAATACCGTGTGCATTCTCTTTGTCCCCCTGTGTCATGGGTATGCATGGAGGAGGGTCTAGCTCTCGTTGTGAAAGATAGAGCCGGGAAAGGAGGTCAGAGAGTGAGTGGCTTCCCCCCCCCCATGGTGGCAGACTAAAGGGATGTCAGGAGGAGAGGTGATGGTATGTAACTATGCAGAGGGAGTGAGTCCTTGCCCAGAATGAGCTTTATTACCTTCTGTCCAGCCCTGATTTTTTTCCCTCCCACCTCCTTCACTGGTGTGTTCCACTGTACTCCCTCAGGTCAGCTTTCTGTCTGGAGAGCTGCTTTTCATCCGTCCACTACCAGATTTCCATGAGAGAAGGAACAAACCCTTCTGTTTTCCCCACTTGTAGTAATATCTATTTTGTGGTAGCACCTGGGAGCCCCAATCACGGACCCAGGGTCTCATTGTGGAAGACACTGTACAAACGTATAACAGAAAGATGGCCCCAGCCCCAGATAGCTTTGCTCATGTTTTAGAAGCAGCAGCTGTTCTGTTGCGTCTGTTTTCAGACAGCTACTGTTGGTGGTGGCGCTACCCCTTTCTGTTGTTGAAGCAGAACTTTCAGAGGAAAAAAGGGGTTCTTGAGTGAAGTGGGTGTCCAAAAAGGCTAGAATTAAAATGAACACTTAATTTTTGAGACACGTCGCTTATTCACAGGGTCGTCTTTTTTCATAAAAAAGAGCTGGTGGTTCCAACTGCCCTTTAATTTTGCATTTCATTGTTATAAAAACTTCTAAAATAATTTAAATGGATTTGTGTCAGCCTCCTATGTTCATAGTAGAAAGTAGTGGAAAAGGGTATCAAAAAGGATAAACACTAGCCCTGTCAAGCAATTAAAAAAATTAATCACGAAGTTAATAATAGAATACCATTTAGTTAAATATTTTTGGATCTTTTCTACATTTTCAAATATTGATTTCAGTTATAACACAGAACATAAAGTGTACAGTGCTCACTTCATATTTTTGATTACAAATATTTGCACTGTAAAAAAAAATATTTTTCAGTTCACCTAATGAAAGTACTTTCGTGCAATCTCTATCATGAAAGTTGAACTTACAAATGTAGAATTATGTAAAAAAAACCACAAAACTGCATTCAAAAATAAAACAATATAAAACTTTAAAGCCTACAGGTCCACTCCATTCCTACTTCAGCCAATCGCGCAGACAAACAATTTAGTTACAATTTGCAGGAAGTAATGCTGCCCACTTCTTGTTTACAATGTCACCTGAAAGTAAATACAGGAGTTCGTATGGCACTGTTGTAGCTGGTGTTGCAAGATATTTACGTGACAGATGCGCTAAAGATTCATATGTCCCTTCATGTTTCAACCACCATTCCAAAGAATGTGCATCCATGCTGATAATGGGTTCTGCTCAATAATGATCCAAAGCAGAGCAGACTGACGCATGTTCATTTTCATCATCTGAGTCAGATGCCACCAGCAGAAGGTTGATTTTCTTTTTTGGTGGTTCGGGTTCTGTCGTTTCTGCATCGGAGTGTTGCTCTTTTAGGGTTCTGAAATCATGCTCTAAACTTTGTCCCTCTCTGATTTTAGATGGCACTTCAGATTCTTAAATCTTGGGTCACATGCTGTAGCTATCCTTAGAAATCTCATGTTGGTACTTTCTTTGCGTTTTTGTCAAATCTGCTGTCAGTGTTCTTAAAATGAACATGTGGTGGGTCATCAACGCCTGCTATAACATGAAATATATGGCAGAATACGGGTAAAACAGAGCAGGAGACATAAAATTCTGCTCCCAAAGAGTTCAGTCACAAATATAATTAACGCATTGTGTTTTTAACAAGCATCATCGGCATGGAAGCGTGTCCTCTGGAATGGTGGCTGAAGCATGAAGGGGCATACAAATGTTTAGCGTATCTGGCACGTAAATACCTTGCAGTGTTGGCTACAAAAGTGCCGTGTGAACACCTGTTCTTGCTTTCAGGTTGCATTGTAAATAAGCAGGCAGCAGTATCTCCTCTAAATGTAAACAAACTTGTTTGTCTTAATGATTGGCTGAACAAGAAGTAGGAGTGAGTGGACTTGTAAGCTCCAGAGTTTTACATTGTTTTGTTTTTGAGTGCAGTTATGTAAAAAACAAATGTAGATTTTTTAAGTTACTTTCACTATAAAGAGATTGCACTACAGTACTTAAATGAGGTGAATTGAAAAATACTATTGCTTTTGTTTATCATTTTTACAGTGCAAATATTTGCATTAAAAATAATATAAAGTGAGCACTGTCTACTTTGTATTCTGTGTTGTAATAGAAATCAATATATTTGAAAATGTAGGAAAACATCCAAAATATTTAATAAATTTCCATTGGTATTCTATTGTTTAACAGTGCAATTAATTGCAATTTTTTAATCACGATTAATTTTTTGAGTTAACCGCATGAGTTAACTGCGATTAATTGACAGCCCTTTCTTACTATTATGAACATACTTTTTTCTGATAGGTTCATCCTTAAAAAGAAAAGATTTCTCCTTCCTCTTAAGCATTAGAAGCTAGACTTTTGTTTTAGCAGATGTTTGTGGCCCAAAAGCCACTTCGAACTAGCTTTCTAGAATTAAATTGGAGATATTAAAGCACTCTTAATTTAGTTTTCGCTGATCTTATTTATACAGTGCTCATGCAGAGGCCCTAGGGGTGCTACACAACAATGTAAATGCAATACAATCAAAAATCTTCTCATTAAAAAACAGGAAAGGGAGAATCCTATACAGGGACTGAAGTTACTGAAAAAAGTTCTGGAAGCAGTGTCGTCTGATTCTTTTGAAAAATGGGAAGGGTGAATGGCATGGATGTCTTAGTGATATAGTGCAGGGGTGGCCAACCTGAGAAGGAGCCAGAGTTTACCAGTGTACATTGCCAAAGAGCCACAGTAATACATCAGCAGCCCCCCACACCTCCTCCCACCCACGGGCAACCCCGCTGATCAGCACCTCCCCGCACCTCCTGATCAGGTGTTTTGTGGCGTGCAGGAGGCTCGGGGGGAGGGGTGCAGGAGGGAGGAGGAAGGGAACTGCAGGTTCAGGGGAGGGGGCAGAAAGAGGTGTAGTGGGTTTAGGGCCTGTGGCAGAGCCAGGGTTGAGCAGTGAGCACTCCCTGGCACATTGGAAAGTTGGTGCCTGTAGCAGTCAGTGCCTATCCAGGGAGCTGCATATTAACTTCTGAAGAGCTGCATATGGCTCCAGAGCCACAGGTTGACCACCCCTGAATATCATACCACAACAACAAAAGCATAATGATGGAACTCTTGGTATGAGATTGGTTACCTGTCAAACTGAGCAACAAGAAAAGGGTTCTTATGGTGTCCTGGTCCGTGATTAGGGCTGCTTGGTACTACAGTAATATAAATAATATGAGGTCCTACAATCTTTCAGAACTCTAAAAACCAACAGGACTGTCTTAATCAGTTTGTCATTAACAGGCAGCCAGTGTTTATTCCTAACGCAACAGTGTTGCTGCATTCTATAAGTGGTAAAGAGCCCTGCTAAAAGTCCTACTAGGAGAAAATTATAGTCGCTAAACTTTTTGTCTTGGGAATACATTGCTGTTGCAAAAGTTGTTACAGGATAAGTCAAAGTGTGGCTGGTACAAATTTAGTGGAAAAACACTTTTGTACTATATCTGATAGTTTTCCCTGGAAAGAATGTCCAAAATAGTGCCAGAGTTCTAGCATCATTCTATTTAACGTATCCCCTCAGAAGATGGGGAGGAGAGCGGGAGGCACCAAAGAGGATATCCTTGTACTGACTGCCAGTACCTAATATCAAACTTTAAGTCTTCATAGGTTGAGGAGGAGATAGCATTAATGGCTTTGGATATCAGTATTGACCAAGCACATCTCCAAAGCAGATATTGATCAAACAGGATCCACGGGTCGAAATAAATGTTTGTTTGGCATACTCATACTCCACCTCATGTTTAGAGGCGATCTCAGTAGGAAGTGTTATATACATTGAGTATGGATGAAATAGGATAAAGTCCTGAATACTGCATTTCAGGCTATTTTGAAGAACAGTTCATCACTAAGTAATTCCAATCCTTTACTCATATATCAAGAGGGTAGTTCCATACACAGGACTGTAGGCATAGTTTCTGAAGCAACCTCTTGTACTTGCAGAATCCTTGGAAAGGTCCAGCATGACCACTATAGCCAGGTAGCCCAAATGTCAAAACATCAGGAGGGTTGTGCTAGTAAGGGTCATGAACAATCTCCTCTTCAGAAAGCTTCAATTCAGACTTAAACCTGCTTAAGATGACTTATACATCCAGGTGCACCTAGAACGAAACAAACACTACCTTCCCAAGTCTCCTGCCTAAAACAGAAAGGTTGCAAACAAGCCAGTAAATGGCAGCACTTGAGCATTAAGACTTAATGGTGCCCTTAACCTCGCTCTCTTCCTTTTGCGGAAGGAGGATGTTGATAATGCTATTCAAAGCAACTAAAGAAACCATGGGGACAAGATCACACAGATAGTGAATCTCAGAAGATCCCAGAAAAATCTTCAGTCCTCATCAGAGATTACATCAAATTAATTAGAAGTAGACAGTCCATCAGAAGCCTCAGATTTTGCCATTGAAAAGGCACAAAGAGGAGCCCCGAGCCCCGCAAAGAACTCATCACAGGTCATTTGAAGGAAATGCTAAATGGAACAACACAGTCTAGGCTAATTATACTGTGCACTACCTGGAAGTTTGTGTGGCATCTCTGGTAGAGAATAGGTAGAACCTTTGTGTTCTGTATGCCTGCATGAAATCTTTGTGACTAGGCAACTTCCCAACCATCTCCTCTTCAGTTCGACTCTGTTGCTTTCAAAGGTGGAGGACTTCTTTTGTTAGCACCTCTTTAAATAATTGTACGAGTGCTACAGGATTTCTCTCTGTTAGATTTATCTTACATTTAAACAGCTGCACCCACAGCTCTTTCTGATGTTTTAAAAATGAAGTTTAGATCTAGTCATATTTAATGAGACTTTAAGTAGTGTGCCTCACAAGTCAATCTGAAAGTGTGTGTGAATTGAAGTGGCCTTAAGAAAATCATATAGATAAGGTAGAAAAAAAGGAAAGGGGGGTGGGGGAGGAGGAAAGAGGCTGAAAGTACTGTTGTCAGCAACGAGTTTCAATACCAGTGTGTAACAGTGTTAATAAATATTTAATTCTGGTAATCATTGGTTAAAGGTAGGTGGAAGGTATAGTTCTCAATGCAAAATTGTATTCATGATGTGATTTTGTGTATAATCTAGCTAATCAGTGAATTGACCCTTTTTAAAAAGGGACTTGATTTTAATTTGTGTGTGTCTCTGTCACTTCCCTCAAGGGCCAGCAGCAGGCTACTCAAGTTCAGCAAGCTGGGATGGTGCCAGCTGCTCCCCAGGGAATGGGGTCAGGTGCACCTACAGCAGACCCAGAAAAACGCAAACTCATTCAGCAGCAGCTCGTTCTCCTCTTACATGCTCACAAGTGCCAGCGGCGGGAACAGGCAAATGGTGAGGTGCGACAATGCAACCTCCCTCATTGCCGTACCATGAAGAATGTCCTCAACCACATGACACACTGCCAGGCTGGCAAATCCTGCCAGGGTAAGTAGAGAGTGAGCATGTGAGTGTGCTTACAAGAATAAATATAGGATTGGACAGGACTCCATGAAGGAGACAATGTAGAATTTTTCTCAGTTATAGACACTGGGGAATTTAGCTTATAAGAGGGTTTTGACAGCAGGATGCTTCCATGATCACATCTGCATGCTAAGAAAAGAAAGGGTTAAGCACCTTTTGTGATGCAGAGGCATAGCCATTCACGTTTTGTCCCCATTCTGAAATACAATAAAACCTACCAAGAGTGATCACTTGTGAGAGTTAGCAAAAGTAGTTGTTTGTAGGAGGTCTCTTTTCAAAGGTTTGCACACCAGAGAGCAGTGGTGTTCTATGGCCTCTGCAAGTAGTCTTGCAGTGACAAGTGGTCTCCCTTCAGAGATGGTCTCTAAGACAGGCTTTACTGTAACTGACAGGTTTCAGAGGAACAGCCGTGTTAGTCTGTATTCGCAAAAAGAAAAGGAGTACTTGTGGCACCTTAGAGACTAACCAATTTATTTGAGCATGAGCTTTCGTGAGCTACAGCTCACTTCATGAAGTGAGCTGTAGCTCACGAAAGCTCATGCTCAAATAAATTGGTTAGTCTCTAAGGTGCCACAAGTACTCCTTTTCTTTTTACTGTAACTGTTAACAATGGCCCACAGCCATTTGACCTCTGGCTGTGATATTGTCAGATCTCACATGGTAAAGGGTCAGCTTTGACAGTACTTAGTTTGGAAACTGCCAAGGGAGTGCTGCAGTAGCTGGTGTTGGGGGTTCAGAGGGGAGAGTGCTATATTTTGAGTCATTAAGCATCCAGTGCCTCATATGCGTGTTTGGAGACTGTGGTGCTGGAAATGTACCGTATTTAGGATGACTAAGAAAAATTGAGGTCCTGACCACTTCTTTTATTAAAAGACTTCCAATGGTAGTTTCCTAGAGAGTAAAGGTAAACATAAGCCATCAAGGAATACACTTTTTTTATATGCCCTTTTTGGCTGTGGAGCAGTTGTCCTTCATATTGTAGTTAATAATGGGTCAAAATGGAACCCATGTTTTGTGCATACCTTGTAGTCTTGTTTTAACTTACTTACAGTTCTACACAGTTCAGTTTAAGTTCGGCAGTAAGGCTTAGGTAAACACCCTTGAATTTTTTTCTCACTGAAAGTATGAAAGAATTAACACCTAGGAAAGTGGATGTTTTGGGATTGGTTTAATAATATTGAAGCCTCTTGTCTCTGGTCTGTACTGACCTGGGAGAAAGTTGAAAAAATGACAGTTGTTGCAGATTTCTGGCTATTCATTGGCTTTTGTACAATTAGTTGATGGAAAAGAAACAGGATGAAACAGTCTGTAGTGGCTAGTGGGCAACTGCACACTCTTCTGACACTTGTACCTCATTTGGGGTTGTTGACAAGGACAGCAAGCAAACATGAAAAATCCCCTCTGCCCCCAAAACTGATTCCTTCAGGTGAGGCATGGGACAGTTTGGCTAAGAGCACTGGGTATGGATGGGTGCGTGTGTGTGTAAGCATGCTTCGATTTCCGATTTTTATTCTGAAAACTCTCACCTGCACTAAATTCAAATTTAAAAGCAGAAATGAGAAAGGAGAGCAGAATGGCATATATAAACCTAATGGAAAGGACCTTAACTTTTGTTTAGCAACAAAACTGAACTGTAAGACCTCTTTATTTTCTGCAAAGAAAACACTCTAAATCCTGTCCTGGTAAGAGGTTAGACCAGATACCTTAATAAATCTCTGCCATCTCTGATTAAGATATTTTGTGCTGTTGTCCTTCATAGAGCCATGACTTGATGGTCCTGTGTGCGCGTGCACATGTGAATGGGCATGAGAGAGAAGCATGTGGAGAAATGAAAATGTAAAATTATCTTTTTAAAATTTTTTGTTCCTCTTCCCTTTCCTAGTGGCACACTGCGCATCTTCACGACAAATCATCTCGCACTGGAAGAATTGTACAAGACATGACTGTCCTGTGTGTTTGCCTCTCAAAAATGCTGGGGACAAAAGAAACCAACAGTGTAAGCCTCATGCAATTCAAGCCTTTGCATACTAGATTAATCATAAAAGGTCATGTTTAGTGTTAGATCTGTGTTCTTGTAAGCCCCTAAGAGTATGGATCAGAGTAGAGCTGCCGTGTCATCCAGGAACTAACATGTGAGGATAAGGATTTTCATGTTGCTTTGGAAGAATATCCCCTCTTTCTCTAGCTAGTACCCAATATAATGTTGAAAACCCCCTTAGATAGCTTAATTTAGCCCTTTTTAGCTGGAGAGAGGAGGCCAGCATGATGCTGGGGCAGCCCAAGGGCTGGTAGTTCTGAGAGAAGAAATGTTGGGCATGTCCATTTTCATCCTTGTCAGAACTGTGAAAGTGGGGTTTGCACACTAAAGATTAAAAAGTAGTGTGTTCTAAGAACTTTTGCCTGCTCAGTTCAATATGAAAGTATTAAATGATATTACAGTGTTATACTTATGCCAGGTTATATACTACTTGAATTCAAAGTCTAGTTTTGGAATTCTTAAAATTTCTGGTTTATAAATGCCCTGGTAACAGAACACTGTATGTGTAATTAGAGCAAAAGATTTGTAGGGTTTACCACATACTCTTCTGACCTTCAGCTAAGGTTGAATGAAAGTAACTTCTGCTTCTCACCTGACCAGCCCCTCTTCTTCCCGTTCTAAGCGGACACTTTTCTGCCATGTGAAGAATATTCTACATAAATTCATCTCTTTTTACCCTGGCAGCTTCTGCATTATGTTCCAGCATGCTCCCCCATCCTTCTCCTGATGTTACTTGCCCAAAATTTTTCTTGCTGTCTGACTCTCCCTTGTTGTTCCTGTCTAAATATCCCAATGCTTCTGTTTCCCAGTATTCCCTCCAGGAAAAAAACCCAAACCATTCTCCTTGCTACTTTGTGCTTTTCTCACAACTGGTCCTCTAGGCTGTTTACCTCTGTTTCGAAACTTTGTATCGAGAGAGAGAGAGAAATAAAGAACTTCATGAGCAATCTGGAGGACTCTGCTCCTCTGGCCTTTAACATCTGATTATGTGCTGTTTGAGCTTTAAACTGGTTAAAGCAAACTGACATGTCCAGTACATTTAATATTAGTGTAAATTTACTGTTCCCAGTTCATAGTGAAAGTAGTACATTGTGGTAGGGTAAAATTCCTCAAACTTTGCATTGTGGACTCTCTTGACCAGGGTGCTCATGTAACTGCTCTTGTAAGGGTATATTTTGGTCATACCAACAATTGAAATTTTGTGCACTTTTACCTTTTTCTTTGGTCTCAGTTTCTGACATTTTTGTTGATATGGTATCTGTCTTTTCCAGCATTACTGGGGGGAGCTGCCGCAGGACTTGCAAATACTGGCTCTGTAGGGGTAGGGCAACAGACTACGTCCTCTATAAACACTACCAGTCAGATTGACCCTAGCTCCATTGAGAGGGCCTATGCAGCCCTTGGACTGACCTATCAAGGGAACCAGATGCAGACGCAATCCCAGGCTCAAGTGAAGAATCAGCAGCAAGGGCAGTCACCCCAGGGTCTGCGCCCTATGAACCCCATGAGTAAGTTGACACTCAAGTATTAAAATACAAACTGTATGCAGCTATCTTCTGTGCTTTGTCTAATGCATGCTTCATGATACGAAAATGCTTCAAGATTTCCTTAAGTATTTTTGTTTCAAAACTCCTTTGTGTATATTCACACCTTGCACAATACTGGAATGCAGGTATGACTTCATGATCAGATGCAGATTGAAGCATTTTACAGCATTGTCATTTGTTCTGTAGTGTTTAAAAATTTGAAAGAGCTAAATAGGGAATTGCTGTCCTCAACTCTTTGTTTAGATGCTTAGAATCATTCTCTGTCCCTACGTTGCTTATTTTAGAACCACCAAAGAGTACTTAGAGATCTTACCTTGTATCTGAGCTACCCAGGGAGTCAAACTGGAACCGGAGAACCAGTTTGAACCAGAATTTTTACTTGAACCAGAACCGAACCAGAACCAAACCTGAACCAGAATTTTGTCCTACCTCCTGACCTGAAACTGAACTGGAAAAAAAAATTGGGGTTACTGCTTAAAATAAAGTTTCAGCAATTTTAAGCTCAGTATTTTAAAATACTGCTGTGATCTTATTTTCATTATAAAACAAGACAAAATAACATAAGCGCGTGATTGCTACCAGAAAGGCCTGCCCCAGTATAATGAGAAAGGAATGGTAATAGGAAGAGACCAGCCCGGGAGAGGGGAAGCAGGGGGCCCCAGAGTGAGATGAGCTTTCTCCTGAGACTCCCCTCTGGGAAGAGAAGAGGTGGAATGTTCTTGTCCCAGAAGTTAACAGTAACTCTTCAAGCCCAGGGGAAAAGGTAATGGCTCCCCAACTCTTCTCCCTCTTAGGCCTCCTGCCACTCCTGTCCAACACCTGGGGCTCCTCCCTCCAGTTGCCCCAAACTGAAGAGTGCTTTCATGTACAACTTTAAAAAAAATACATAGCTGTGTATCTTTAAAACACTTCAGAATAAAACCTTTTAAATGTGATACACTGAGATGATGAGATTCTCATGTGGCCCTGTAGCAGTCCATACACATTCATGCTTGCAGTAGGTGCAAGTACACAAAAGTAAAATATTTGCTTCATACCACTCCAGTGTGACTCTTCTTCGCAAATAAAGATGGTGCATTTGAGTAACTTCATTTAACAAAACAAAATGTAATGCAAATTAAGACAGTTAAATGGATGCTTTGAGATTAGCATAGCCATTCTTTGGTTGTCTTTACCCAGGTGAAAAGCCCAGAATAAACAGAATTTTATTGTTTTCTGTGAAGTAACCTATGTGGTGCATTTAAGGTTCAATTGATGGATATCAAGGTCTTCCCAACCCACTCTGATCTGGCTTTCCTCGTATCTCTAGACTATTTTCTGGAGAATATTTTTCTGTTCTTTAGTCATAGGAGAAATGTGTGCTAGAGCTAAACCCTATTTCTGAGGACAGTTGCTCTCTGAAGTTTCTGGAGAGCCTGTTGAGATTCATGTTCTTTATTATTATTATTGGATTAATGGAGAGAAATTAGACTGCAATCCCTCAGGGTGTGGCTCCTTTTCTCCTCAGATTATTTTCATTTTAGCCAATCTGTGCTATTCTCATTTCTGAATACAAAGACTGTAGATAACACCAAAGGACACAGTTCTGCCCTGGATTAGTGTTGATTTTTCTCAACCTTGGTCTGCTCTTATTCTCATGCTCGGCCTTGCTATTGATATACAATATAGCTTCATCAGAACAAACCTTTTTTTTCTTTTTCATGCTTGTTTCTATAAATGCAAAATGCCGTTGTAGTTTGCAGATGGCTGAAGGATACTTTACTTGACTTTGAAGGTAGCCTGCAAGAGTGTCCCCCCCCCCCTTTTTTTTTTTCCCTGTTTTGGCATTTTTGCTGGGAGAATCAAGCCTGAATGATTAGTCTTATGTTATCCTACAAGAAACTGAAACCTGACCAGTTAAGAGAGGAAGAGATTTTTAGCCAGACGACAAAACTCATCATTTTATAATACCTGTTTGACTCAGATTCCCATCAGACTTTTGGAAGGAAAGCTCCTTGTGAAAGTTTTGAGTACCACAACCCGTTTAGATGAGAGCTGTGACTTTCTTCAGTTCTCCGATTCTTTCTAAAAGGAAAAAAAAATCCTCCAACAAACCAAAATTTTTTGAAGTAAACCACCAACCATGAAGCCTTAAACTTTCAAACCATTGTACATCATGAAGATGAAACTCCTCTCTTTCCCTCCTCCACTAGTATCTTTAATACTTGTGAATGATTGTTGCTGTTTAGATATTCTGCCACAGTCTGTAAAGAATAGCATTTATGAAGACTAGACAGTTTGGAGCTGATCAAGAGGGGGGAGTAATTCTTGTCTAGATTATGCTTGATGTGTAAAATGGTAAACTTCTGAAAATCTCCTTTCTTGGTGGTGTCAAGAGGTACAATTTCAAAGGTCTTCTCAAGAAATTGGCCAATTGAATCATCTTCAAACGAGTTGTCATTGATTTGTTCACCCATGTCCCCCTCAAGCACACACAAATTTGTAGGAATACACCATTCATGGTGGTAATATCATTTTTAAAGAGCCAGCACTATGATGGGAGTCTGATTAGACTTGGGACTCCAACTTTATGTAGTCCTATTGTGAATGTCACCCTTCTTTAGATACTGATTAGCTTCTCAAATCAGGGATTGTCAGTTCCTGGTATTCTCTCCTCTCCCAGTCATAATTTGAGCAGCCGACATGCCTTCTGAATAGCTTTGCAAGTTAACATGGATTCTTTACTGACTTAGCCACTCACTGAGGTAAATACTGATGTTCATGCAGATTTGTCAGATAAGTTTGACCTCACCTCAAATGCTGTGCTCAGTTTTGTCAGAAATAGAATGGGTCTGTAAAAGGCTAACAAATTCAGGCCTTGGCATGAAGGATGGCAGATAAACTTCTCAATTCCTCAACACTTGCTTTTTACTTGGAAAGGATAAGAGAAATGATGGCAGTAAATAAAAATAGAGTGACTACAGAAGACCCAAAAAGAAAAGGAGTACTTGTGGCACCTTAGAGACTAACCAATTTATTTGAGCATGAGCTTTCGTGAGCCACAGCTCACTTCATCAGATGTGTACCGTGGAAAGTGCAGTTTCCACGGTACACATCTGATGAAGTGAGCTGTGGCTCACGAAAGCTCATGCTCAAATAAATTGGTTAGTCTCTAAGGTGCCACAAGTACTCCTTTTCTTTTTGCGAATACAGACTAACACGGCTGTTCCTCTGAAACCTGTCATTATACAGAAGACCCAGTGAGCACTCCTGTTAACCAAATGTCTTTCTGTTTTATTATGGGTAAAGGGTGAAATTAAAGGCAGCAACGACAGTAAAACCAAGAGAAATTTTCATTGTGTGAAGAGACTTCTGTGGGTCAAAGACATAGCACAGGAATAACTTAACAGTGAAAGATAAAGCTGCCAGGGCTGGGAATCTTTGAAACTTCCTTAAATCAGCAGGATCAGTGATGATTCTCTTTTATTGCCGGCTTCCTCACTTCCTTGATTTTCCCCACATAATCCCATACGTGGAACACTCTAGAGAAGAATATTGAGACAGATAGCATAGTAAGATTCAAAATAGCATTACACAAGTAATTAAGACTAGTATCTGCAACTAAACATTAGAAAAATTACAACCTTCAGGCTTCAGAGCTGATCACCACCTGAGATTAGAAAGAAATGTCCTTCTTCCATGCTGTAGTATTCCACTATTACAGAAACTTTTAACTGATCAGAAGAGGAGGAACCCTTCCTCTGACAGCACTAGCTCTTGTCAAACAGTGTACCAGTGTAGATGGACCATGGCTTTCTTTGGTATGGCAGTTTGTATCTTGTAACTCTCTCCTGTCTTAGATCTGCCATTATCACCAGAGTGAATGTCCATGGAATTGTAGCTTATCTGAATGGCAGAACTTAGTCCTGGACTATGATACACAATACACTTTATAAATTAGTGGAGGGAGTGTGGCTAAAGTAGCAAACAAGATGGTGGTTAACTCCAGCTCTCTGCAATAAAGGGGAGGGGAAACGAAAACAATTTAAGAAGATAAAAAGAACCAAGCCAGTCTGAATCAAAAGATCTGTGCCCTAAATGTGAATAACCATCCGTGGAGCTAGTTTTGGAAAGAGAAAAAGAAGGGTGAAGAGAGCTGGCCAGATCCCAGTCCCAGAGAGCAGCTTCTGGGGGAGAAAATTCAGCAAAAGTATCCAGTGCCATCAGCCTGCAGAATTTATTAAAAAAAAAAAAAATGTACTAGTGTGGCTGGGGGAGGAAGTGTGGCAGTGGTAGCCACAGGTAGGTAGTGTAGAAGTGTGTGGTGACAACCATCTTGGGGGAGAGGCACAGTAGGCAAGGAGGAAAGATGATCTAGATGTCTGGGAAGGGAAAGGAATCTTCCAATACAAAGATTTGTCCCCCCAGAATGAAGACATGTCCATGAAAAAGAGTAACTCCACTTCGAGCAAACAGACTGTGGAGGTGGGTAGCGAAGCCCCAGTCACAAAGGGTGACCTGAAGGACCTGCTGTTAGAAATCAAAAGATGAATAAGGAGATGAGGGAAGAGTTCCATGCTTTCATTAGATATCAAAAAATGAAATGAGATTAATGGAAAAATATCAGATGTGGAAGCAGGATTAAATGAGCAATTGGACAGCACTATTAATCTATGTGAAAGAATTGGAATTGAACAGAGAAAAAGAAATAGAATTAAAGCTAGAGGACATGGAAAGTAGAGAACACAGGAATAACATAAGGATTTAAAGGTATTCTGGACACATTGGATGATATTTTCCATGACCTATTAAAACTGGGCAATAAGAAATACATTCCTATTGAGAGGGCTCACAGATCCCTTTCCCCAGGCTTCCCGCAGGCTCCAGACCAAGAGATGCAATTGTCTGTCTACGCTACTATCAAGACAAGGATACAATACTGAGAGCAATGAGGGAGGGAGCTGAACCACTGATGATTCTTAACCAGCCCATACAGATTTTCCCAGATCTGGCAATCTCAGCCCTTAGAAAGTAAAGAGAACTATACCATGTGACCACAATTCTTAGAAAGAACAATATAAGATACACTTGGGGATTCCATTTAGACTGTTCCTTAAATGGAAGTATAGATGTATGTATGTCTGTCTCAGATCAGGAAGTGGGGGAAGAGGTACTTACGGACATGGGAATAGGCAAATCAGATCAAGAACAATCTGAATGGGATCAAAGGCATTAGTGCCACAAATCACCAAGAAATCACTAAAACAAGGAGGAGTCCGGTGGCACCTTAAAGACTAACCGATTTATTTGGTCATAAGCTTTCTTGGGTAAAAACCCACTTCTTCAGATGCATGGAGTGAAAATTACAGATGCGGGCATTATATACTGACACATGAAGAGAAGGGAGTTACCTCACAAGTGGAGAAAGTGTTGACAGGGCCAATTCGATCAGGGTAGAATAAATGAGCTGAAGGGTAAGGTTAACATAAACACCTTCCTCCTATCCCCCCAGCAGAGAACTAAAATGGCCACGGGGTCGAGGCAAATATGGGGGAATTCATAGGAAGGGAGGAGAGAAAGAAAAGAGGGATTAGAGAACAGAAGCAGGTGTTAATTATGTTTTAATAGAAAAGATTATATTAAAAAGTTGGGTCTCAGAATTAAAATTATGGTAAATCTGACTGTAGATATTATTCTGTTACTCATGGATCTTATTCCAGGATTAATATGACTTTTGCTTCTAGGACTTTGCTAATTTAGTCAAAAAAACTAATTTGAGATTTATAACTTGGTCTGATTGTGCACCTAGCTGCATGTACTAGATTATGAGATTGGGACTCAGTGGAAAAATGAAAGGCCTAGATGTTAAATAGAGCTTTATTGTGTGACCCTTCCCCCACCCCCATAGAATTCAAGACCTGGAAGAAAATTTTCAAGAATATACAGAATAAAAAAGGGATAATTGAAAATGTCGTCTTGAGTGCTGGAAAGTCAGTAATGAGGGGTATCCTTATAAATAGAGAATCCTACCTCAACAAGAGGAGAGCTCTTGAAGAGTTTGGTTAAAGAAGGTTGACCTAAATCTATATGATCTAAAAGTGTAGAAGAATATAATTAAGGTAAGAGGGAAGATTAACCCGTTACAGATAGATAAGGCTGAGCAAACACTTAGATATATTAAATAAAAATATTATGAAAAGGGCAATAAAGCTGATAGGCTTTTAGCCAGAAAGTAAAAAAAGAAACAGGATAAATCGGCCATCCCTCTGATGAGAAATAAAAAGGGAGACTTAGAAATTGGCATCAAATAGATCTCTGAAACATTTATTAACTTTTCCATCTTTGTATGCTTCAGAACCTCCAAATCCTGAACTTTTAAACAGGCATTTGAGGAGTGTGAAGCTACCTTGGCTTTCAGAGGATGATATGGCCATTCTTGGTAAGCTAATTGCTGCAGAGGATGTTGAAGTTGTAATTAAGAATTCAAAATCCAGTAAAGCTCCAGGTCTTGATGGGTTTCCTGTGGAGTATTAGAGCACTCAAGCCTACTGTCACTGAATTGATTAATGGTACAGTAAAACCTCAAGAGTTACAAACACCTCAAGAATGGAGGTTGTTCATAACTCTGAGCAAAACGTTATGGTTATTCTTTCAAAAGTTTAGAACTGAACATTGACTTTATATAGCTTTGAAACTTTACTACACAGAAGAAAAATGCTGCTTTCCCGTTATTTTTTTTAGTAGATGAACACAGTTCTGTACTGTATTTGCGATTTATTTTGGGGGGGAGGGGGTGTCTCTCTGATACTGCCTGATTTTGTACTTCTGGTTCCAACTGAGGTGTGGTCAGTACGTAACTCTGGTGTTTGTAATGCTGAAGTTCTGCTGTATATTGCAGGGGAGCAAGACACCAGATTCATAGAAAGAGGCAAAAATTGTGGCCATTCCTAAAGAAGGAAAAGATCTTGCCAATTGTGCATCATACATACCTATTGCTTAAATTTAATGTGGATGCTAAAATTTGACCAGATGTGTTCATCCTGACTAGTCTGGTTTGTTGCTGGCAGGCATTTATATAAGAACTCTAAATTTGATCATGTTAATTCTAACAATTCCTCCACAAAAGAAAAAGGGTGAGTTCTAAAGTTCTTGATAAGCCTACCAAGTGGGGTGGGCTAGCTTTCCCTAATTTGGCTTATTATGAATCATAATTAAAATGTGATCAAGTGGGTTAACAATAGACCATCCAAGCACTTTAAAACTTGAACAAGACTGGACCCCACTTACAGCTATAGTAACTTTTAGTTTTAAAAAAAAGGTTACTAATCTTCTGTAACTGTTCTTTGCCACACTCTCAGTTCCTTCTTGCTGGCTAACTCTGATAGTGGGGTAGGAGGGAGGGTTTTGGAATGGACATGAGCAATACATCTTGAAGAACAACAGTTATGGAAGATTAGTAACTATTTTTTCTTCGAGTGCTTACTCATATCCATTCCAATGTAGGTGACTCCCAAGCAAGTGTAGGAACAGGGGTTCGGAGTTGATTGACAAGCAGACTGTAGCACTGCTCTGCCAAAGAAAGTATCCTCTCTGGCCTGCTTAGTGATGACATAGTGAGATGCAAAAGTGTGGACCAAAGACCACATTGCTGTTCTACAGAGGTTCTGGATGGGAACCTGTGCCACAAATGCAGCTGAAGATGCCTGTACCCTTGTGGAATGTGCCGTTAGGTCCAGAGCCAGGACTTTTGCCAGGTCATAGCATGTGCGGATACAGGAGGTGATCCACCATAACATTATCTGGGCGGAGACTGGGGAGCCTTACATCCTAGTTGCCACTAGCAGTTGAGTAGTTTTTCTTTCTATGAATAAGATCAGTGCCTGGATTTCCAGGTTCTGAGATACATAAAGAGCTCCTAAGGAGGGTGACTTATAATCCTCCTGCAGGGGTGCAACATCAGTCTCCATGACCGCCTTATCTAGGGAAAAGGAGGAGGATGCTTGGACAGGCACCAACCCCTACTCTTTGTCCTCAGCTCCAGCCGAATCCCATGGTGCCATCTCCCGACATACAGCACCGGCCTCTGTACTGGAGCCTGGATCGTGCTCTGGTGGTGGTGGCAGTCTGGGCTCTGAAGCCACTGAATATGATCTTCTGGAATGGGACCGTTGTTGCACTGGAAATGCCCAGAGGTTCCAAAAAGGTCACTATACGGGGAACTGCCACTGTCCTGGCGGCACCCTTTGACTTGGGTCAATGGCGGGATAGTGCCTAGACTGGAATTGCTGGCTCCGCCGTGAGACATAGGACTCTGCTTAAGAGTCCATCTCCAAGGATCACTCTAGAGACTGGGGTAGAGCAGTGCCAACCAGCGCTGGTGAGCGGTGCTGGGAGGGTGGGGCCTGGGTTGTGCCATCATGGCTGGTTTCCCCTTTGAAACTGTCTGTGGCCTCAAGCCTGCAGAAGTCATGTCAGTGCCGCCATTGACAGTTCCCGCAGAGCCAGGAACGTTGGTACTGTCAGCACAAGTAAGTCCCTTGCTGCTGTGAAGGCCTCTGGCATCGACAGCACTGGCTGGGTTTTGGACCTCTGACCTGTCTCATGTTGATGAGTCTATCAGTGCTGGATTCAACGGCTCTCATTCTGGGACCAGAGTCAATGGCACAGCATGGGTTGTCGGCATCTCAAGGTGGCCCAACCCAGGTCTCACCCTGGCAGTGTTCCCTTGTCCTGCTGATCTCCGTGTCGGAGATCAGCCCATCTGTCTGTCTTCCTTTGTTTCTTCATAGGCACTGGCGAGGGTGAACAACGCCTAGTGTCTCGCCGGTGCATCTTTCTTTGGCACTGGAGATATTTGATAGTGCCATGGTTCCTTAGACGCAGTTGTAGCATCTTGCATTGGTGCCGGCGACTGGAAACTGTGCTGGGTGTCTCAAAGTGAGGCTGCGGCACTTCTCACTGAGGCCGAAGTACTCGGTGCCAAGTCCCAGTGGCCTGGCTCTTATGGAGGTCAGAGCGCTGCCTCGATGAGAATATTGTGAAATCTAGCATCTCTATCCTTCTTGCTGTGGGCTTAAATTCTCCACAGAGTTTAGAGAGAGTCCACTGAGGAGTACTTGCAGAAGCAGGAATGAAACTACCGTTACAGGTGGTAAGAAGGAACTGAGGGGGTGGTGAGTTGGCAGAGCCCTTTATACCAGTGCTATGAGAGCACAACTTCAGGCGGAATCAGAGCCAACCCAACAGATACCACTGAGGGAAAAACTTTTCTGGTGACCGTGCTCGGGGCAAGTACACACCTACATTGGAATGGACATAAACAAGCACTCAAAGAATAACAAAATTTAGATCACCAAAAATAAAAAAAATCACCGTTTCATCCAGACCACCTTAGCTTTGGATAATTTTTTTAAGCACCTGTTATCAAAGCCTTTTCCTTAGCTACTTTCACTAGTAATCATGAATTTATCCCTAGGAAATATCGAAGTGACTATTCATTGTGGGTAAGAGCTGAGATTACTCAATTTGGACAGCTGTTCCTAGGTCCTGATTTGAAATCATACCAAGAGATACGTAATAATGTAAATAATATGTAGATCCCATATTTCAGTATTTACAAATCAAACATTTTATTGTGAACTCTGGATACAAGATTGCTCTATCTAGACCTTTTAACCACATTTTGAGGAGCTGACCCAGGAGCAAGTGTGAACAAAAAGTTCAGTTTCTAAGATATGTACAATTTTGATTGAAAAAGATGTTGATAGGAAAACAACCCAGATGACAAGACAGGAGAGGGATTTGGGCAAAGAAATTGATCTAGGTGAGTGGATCTTCATATGGAAGAGGTGATGTACATCTTCAATTTGTGTAGCTCCCAAAGAAAATTTTTATAAATTACTGTATAGATAACATTTGACTCCGGTTAAGATCCATCATATTTTTTGCTACCAGGAATGTACTCTGTTGGAGGGATTGTGGGGAAAGGGGAACATATTTCATATGTGGTGTTGTGTCCAGGAATTGGATGGTTTGGGGAGGAAATTATTCAGGTTTTGTCTTATAACAAAATGCCAGTTTCCCTGAGATCCCTTAACCTGAATACTTTATATTCCAGTCAAGGATCTCCATTTTCAAAACAGAATGGCAAATATATTTTTTGTTAGCAACAAGACTTTGTATTGCATATTGGGAAAATAGGACTTCTTTAGAGTTGTGGTACAGAAAAGTCTGGACAGTGCTTGTAATGAAAAGCTTTCACATCAAGTATATACAGAAGAGGAGATATCTATGTAGAAATTTGGTTACCCTTTTTTAGCATACTCTGAGGAAGAGGCTCCCCAACCAGCAAGCTGGAATCTTTAGCCAGGTTTTTTGACTATTAAACTTATCCTGAAATAAGTACTGTATGATGTAGTATGTTAACATTTTGTTGTAACTTTGCCTTAGTAGAGTTTTTAAAAATAGAGTGGAAAAGGAGTATAGAAGAATTTGTTATACAGATATCCTGAGGAAAGGAATTTCCCTCAGTTAGTCTCCATTTTAAACTGCACATCCTCCCTGAAGTCACTCTTGACATGGTGAACTGACTGATACTTTCATGTCCTCTTGGACACAGTGATTCACACTGAGAACACTTCCCCTTGGTATTTCAAAGGAACTGGGATAACATTTTTTGTCAGCTAGCAATAAGAGTTTGTGACTTAGATTGCTGTTTGTTTGGAATAGAAACACATGATTGTATAAGACGAAGCAGAGAGGTAGCTGACTTCTGCAGTAATAACCATAATTAGCACTTATTGTACTCTATGCCAGGAAACTTTTGTACTCCTTTCCTACTTGTGCATGCACCCCTTCCCTCACATGGAGGCCTGCTTTTAGGAGAGCCTTTCAAGTGATGATCAAAACTCTTCCTGTAAGGAATTACTTTGAGCAGAAGTATTACTGGTATTTGACAGAAATTAGGATTCTTGGTTGCAGGAGGTAGCATCTAAAATTTACTGAAGCTGTTCCTATTAAAACTCCTGAAGGAGGTTAGATTTTTGTTGAGTCCTGTACCAGTCTAAGGGATTGATTTCTGCCATGGATGTCAGTAATTACATCTCCTGTCTAAATGAACCATTTTCTATTGAATGGTGTAGCCTGAATTGCACAGCTGCTATTTAAGCCATAAGGCCGTAGGGTTTAGACAGTGACATTTTACATGAAGAGGGTTAAAATCACTTTAAGTCTTGTCATTATTATTTCTGTAGGATGCTTTACAATGTGTAAAGCATACTAAACAAAATTCTGGCTTCAGAGCTCGCTTTTTAAGTGAGAGTTGGTATAAGTGTGGAAAAACATGTTTTCTAAGAGCTAGTGTATTTTGCAGAACAGGTAGATTTTCAGAAGTTGTTAATGAAATGTTTTGGGGGTGAATTTTAAAAATTATAGCTAAAAAGTAATTTGTCACCCAATCCATCTTCTTGCTAGTAGCGATTGTTTCCTATAATATATTTTCTAGTGCTTTGACTATTTTTAAACTGGAGAGGAAGGGGACTTGGTGTGTGTTACTGGGAAACCATCCCAAGAGTAGAATTAGTATAAATGGCATGAAGTGAAAGTAAAGACAAAAAAAGCAGTGAAAACTAATGTAGTGTAGGCGATGCAGTGTTATGAAACTCTCTGGAAGTAAGAAGCTTGAGTTACATGTAACAGCTACAAAAAAGGAGGAGATGATGATAATTCTTTGAGTCCTTGTTGGTGCTCCACTTGAGGTGTGCATACTCCTTCAGTCAGAGATTTTCGAAACAGCGCCCATTTGGCTTGCTCATGTGCCCTATGCATACTTGTCCTTTACCGAGGATATATTGGGCTCTGCTGGCAAACTGCCCTCAACAGCCTTGGCCTGACACAGAGCAGTTTGTAGTGCCTGCCTAAGCGTGGCTTCTGTTTTGCTAGTCAATTTTTTAGATCTTTTCTTACATTATTACTTTTTAGTTTATTTCGTTCTTGTTTTGATTTTTCCATTTTTCTATGGGTCGGGACTTTCCTCATCCTCCACCCCCCTGTACGAGGGGTCCTTCCTCGGAAATCTTTTCTCTTCTGGGATATGCCTATATCCCAAGGTTTCAAATGTTCTCACTTGCCAGAAACCCTTCCCAGTGAGTGACAGCCATTTGTGCTGTATTCACTGCTTTAGGGATACACGTGTACTATCTAAGTGCAAGTTTTGCACTAGCTTCAAGAGGCACTCAAGGAAAGACAGATATAAAGCATTGACTCCTTTTGATGGAGCTCTGTCTTTGTCTCACTTCAGATCCAGGCTCAGAAACCAGAGGGGCATCAGCCTCTGAGCAACCAGTGTTCCAACAACTTCTGTGGGTTGCTCACCCTCTAGGACTTTGAGGGACAGACCTTTGAGTGAATCTGGAAGACTTTCCTCCAAGAGGAGTGTCGGGTCTCCTCACAAAGACCATTCTAAAAGGTCTACCAGACTGGAGATTTTGCACCCTGCAGAGCTTCAAGTGGTCTTGGTACTGAGAAATCATCTGTCCTAAGTCCTTGTCAGCTTCCAGAGTGCACAATACCCACCACTCGATACAGAAGCCATCGGTACCATTCAAAGTTGGGTGAGAGACTATCAATCCTAAGAACTCTAGTAAGAAGGCAGCACACTCTTCATCTTCCACTGTCTTGCTCGTACCTAGAGCATCAGTACAGCGGGTAGGGATACAGTTGTCCGACCCTGGATACTTCACATCTTTATGGCTGGGACTCACCATATCACACGCTGTCTCACCCGGTACTGCAGGAATCAAGATTCTCAGAGGACCCATTTATTTCTAAGAGCCAAAGTCTCCTCGGAGTTTGAGAATTCCTGTACCACAACTGGTGGTATCCTTTATATCCCACCTTTTGCAGAGACTGCCTATATCACTAGTACTGGCACTTTCTGAAAGATACCAGTTACTCCTCTTTCCATCTGCCTCTTCACTAGACTATAAAGAAGTGGCGAGTACTTTAGAGACTCAGATTTCTGTGCAGGATTCTGCTGACTACCTACTGATGATAGTCTATCCAGAAGCTGACCTGTGGGGAGAGAGACTCAAGCTGCTACTGTCAGAGCCCACCAAACATCTCACTTGGTATAACCAACCCAGGATGTCCCCTTCATTCACATATACTGTATATAGTCTTCCCAGTGAACATACTGGGATCCCT